TGGCTCAAAGACCTCAATGTAAAGTCTGAAACTCTGAAACTCTTAGAAGAAAACATTGGGAAAAATCTACAAGTCATAGGTGTAGGAAAGGACTTTCTAACCCGGACATCAATAGCCCAGGAAACAAGGGCAAGAATTAACAAGTGGGACCTCATTAAACTAAAAAGCTTCTGTACGTCAAAGGAGACAACCAAGGAAACAAACAGAAAACCCACAGAATGGGAGAAAATCTTCACCAGTGACACATCTGATAGAGGTTTAACATCTAGAATATATGAAGAACTCAAAAACAAAGAATCGAGAAACCAAATGACCCAATTAAAAGATGGGCTAAAGATCTAAACAAAGAGTTCTCAAATGAAGAAATAAAGATGGCTAAGAAACATCTCAAAAAGTGTTCAACATCGTTAGTAATTAGGGAAATACAACTTAAAACCACCCTAAGGTATCACCTTACTCCAATCAGACTGGCTAGGATCAAGAGAACAAATGATATCAAAAGCTGGCAAGGATGTGGAGAAAGGGGAACGCTCATTCACTGCTGGTGGGATTGCAAACTCATGCAGCCTCTATGGAAAACAGTGTGGAGAACTCTTAAAGAACTAAAATGAACCTACCTTATGACCCATTTATACCACTCCTTGACATGTACCCAAAGGACTCATCCTATTGTAGAGACACTTGTACAACCATGTTTGTTGCTACACTTTTCACAATAGCTAAGAGATGGAAGCAACCTAGGTGTCCCTCAACTGACGAGTGATCAACAAAAATGTGGTATATTTGCACAATGGAGTTCTATTCAGCAATAAAGAAAGATGAAATAATGAAATTTGCAGGTAAACGGATGGATCTAGAAATTGTTACACTATGTGAAGTAAAAGACTCAGAAAAAAAAAAAAAAAGACATATGTTCTCCCTCATATGTGGCTCCTAGCACCAGACTCTGACAAATAAGTATGCAACCAGACATAACTACAGGAACCAGGATAATGGAAAAAAAACAGGGAGGTAAAGGAAAAGAAAGAACTTGTTCGGCTGAGCCTGATCCCTAAATGTAATCACAATTGGGCTTGTTGATGGTTGTGCTCATTCATTAAAGGAGTGCCAAGCAGGGTCACTGGACCCTCACCTGAGTACCCAGCCACTCTTCCCAGCCAACTACTCCAGCTTTGGAAGACAAAAGAAAAATGAGGAAGAACCCAATGGAGGGATGCTTTTGAAAGCCCTTGTCAAGAAAGTCCAATGGACTCTCAAATGAACATTTGAAAATTGCTGTTCTGACTTTTTTTGAGTTCCCTGTCTAGAACTTGTAATGCTAATTACTCTTGCCTTTACTTCT